GATATGAATTTATTGATTTGGGAGTAAATGGGATATGATTTCTAAAAATCAGAGTAAATGTTCACTTTTTGTTGACCTTGAACATTATATTCTAAGATAAAAACATGTTGTATGAGGTCCTCCAGAGTCTGTGCAAATTTATCTGACTTTATATGCAAATAACAAAAAAGTTTTATCATTTCTATGACTATTAGAGAATATTAAGTTTGTCTCAAATTCCAAGATTTGTAAAAACAAAGTGAAAAGTCAAGGACATATGGGCCCTAGAGATCCCAAAACAGACAGCTAATACTGCAGATTTTGAACTAGTTTTCTTGATAATTATTTGGTTGGTTTTTATTAGTTTCATGACAACCCTGTGTTGGCTTCAATTTCCAAATCTATAAAATAAGTTTGGAGAGAGAGATCTCAAAATTTTTATGATTTAAAGAATTTCTTAAGTGTGGGACAGGTATATTGCTATGGTCAACAGATACTACTCGTTTAATTATTTAATTATTTATTTAGTATCATCCTTGTTCCAGAGAGGATATAAGGTGGCTTATTCAAGGTACACCCAATATATGGTCCTAAAGGTTCCCAGAGGTTTTGTCAGGCTACATGCAAACATATAAAATAGAACAAGCACCCTATAAAACCTGCAAAAGAGAAAAGTAGGATGTTAAGTCCATGTCATTCCAAGTAAGAAAGTTCTGGTTAATAATACTTGAAATGCTTTTAAAATGTTTACATCATAAAATTTGCAAGAACTGTCCTAGATTCAACATTTCTTTGTCATATTATCAGCCAACAGAGAATTTCCCACAAAACTACAGCCTTCCTATACTCCAAAAAGAAGCATCCGCTTGGAATTGACTTCGAGGCAAAAATCTGACTTCTAGATTGCCTTGTTTTCCTTGGATACTACCCATTCTAGTATTTGGCAAGTCATTGAGACCGGGAAGCCTAAAAGACTCAAGGAATGTAGAAACACAAAATTATTAGGCAAGTCAAAGCTAATTTCAAAAGATTACAATTCAATCAATCACACATTTCCTAAAAGTGGCAGTGGAGTTTTTAATTATTGGAAATAAAATTAGATTTGAGCTTAAATCCCTAAATTAATGGTTTACCTTCATTTAGTGCACTATAATTTGCTATAGTTGTGAGAAGACACTTGCAGTTCTATTGCTTAGGAGAGCTTAACCTGATATTCAAAAAGTAGTAACTGAATATGAACATATAACTTCTGACTCTATCATAAACGAGGACAATATGCATTATGGAAAAATGAAGTTGCTTAGTGCTTCTTGAACAAAATTACAATGCTATGTCCTTGAGTGTCATTGACTTTTAGAGTACCTTAGCCCTGAAAAGATTATGGTACCCATGACTGCCATGTAATAAAGAATAAAAACAAAAATACTTTGTTTTATATTCCTTATTTCTTTTGTGTGGTTGTATAAAAACAGGTAAATTATTATCACACTAAAACTCCCTAGCTTGAAGGAAGAAGATTGGGAGTAACAAATCATTGACATATTTCTAAAATAAATTAGGA